AGGTATGTGCATTTCATTTTTAAGTCTGTTCTTGCTCATTTACATTGCATCTGATAGCATGTTTTCAAAATACTGCTCCCGCAACACTGAAGGTTATATGATTAAAAAAACATTTGATTTAGAACATTTTCCTTTAGTTTTCTGGAAGAGAAAGCTGAATAATTACTTTTGTTTAAGTCAGCCTTGTATAAATTTTTACTATAATTTATACATGCATAACATTTCAAGTAGTTGTCAACAATGTTAAGTCATAACCCCAGAATAACCCAGAATAACTTCTTTGAAACTTTTATTTATATACCAACATATCAATTACTGGCATCTAGACTATTATTCTCACAAAGATCAATACTTCCTAATTTGTCCAAGTGTGGCTTTGTTTATTCAGTCATGGTAAGTGTGATACTTCAGGCCGCCTTTGGAACATTCATAGACTGTAAAACTGGTAAATTTCGTTTTCACCAAAAATTGCACTTCACCAGGAATAAAAACACCAAAGATTAAAGCGTCATGAAAGGATTATGGAGCGAAATCCTGTCTTTAACCCACTTGGCTGAGGGCTGACCTATGGGCCAGAGAACAAGGAGGCCAGGACCCTCATGCAGGGGCAGCTGCTGAGGTGGAGGTGGGATGCAAGAAACATGCAAGAGAGAGAGAAAGGGATTTACAGCGTTTGGAAGAGGAATGGATTGTCAGGAGCGATTGCTAATTACTGATGGCTCAGTCTGATTGAACTTGGTTGTTGTCATCCCTCCCGAATGATTGTTATAAACTCCATTACAAGAGATTGATTAGCTCAACATCAAAATATTATATTCCATTATAGTTTTCAACTTTGTCTTGATAGGAAGGTTTCTTGAGTTAACGGTCAGATTATATCATTAACCAATATCCTTGCACTTCTCCACTTACAGTACATGATCACTCAGAAAATTAAATGATTTTGAGCATTATTTCTTCTTACCCAGCATCAAGTTTCCTTGGTCAGTACTTTTCATAACTGCTGCCAGACAAGGAATATGCATCATTCCTTGTTCTTGTTGTTATAACTCATGGATCCAAAAAGACCCTTCTGTTAAATATAACTTTCTGGGGGAATTCAGTTCTTTGAATTGTTATTTCACAAATGCTTAGATTCACGTGCATTCCAGATAGATCACCACTGAGGGCTTGATTTGGCAAGGCAAAACTGTCTGGGCTCATTTTTAATTTACACTCGCTTTCAATATAAGTTTGAAATATCAAAATAGGAACAGAAAACTAAACATGAGTATAACAGAAACTGATTCAAATAGATGCTGAATAATTGATATCACAATTACTGGAGCCTGGAGATCTGCCTTAATTTACACACTTTAAATTGGATGTAACTAAAGCAATGCACACATGCTGCTTGCTCTGGTCAGCAGTGCCCTGTATATTAAAGAGTACCACGTTCGAAAGCTAGTATATGGCTTTCTGTCTAGATTCCATCGAATGAATTCTTTGAGTAATAAACCTCTTGTCCTGGATGATTGTATCCATTTTCCAGCTGAATGATTGTGATAGAGTAAAAGTCAGTTATCACGATGATGTTGTAATTGGATTTTAAAAGTGTAGGATGGCTATTCAGTCAAAGCGTCAGGGCCATGTCAATTTTTTCTCCATACAAGTTTCCCAACTGATAACACCAGATGTGTTCTCATAGTTACAAGAAACATAAGCCATTATGGTGTAAAATGTTTAAATCTGTTGTTCAGCTTGAACTCGCCTATTAAATGCATCTTATTTTGACCTTTTTGCTTTCAACAAAGCTCCAGTATATTCTAAATGATTCATAGTCCACAATAAAAACATTTTCATATGATATCAAATGAGACAAAATGGGATGTGAAAGAAATGCTTCATTCCCTTATTTAGCTTTCTCTTTAGTTTTTTTTTATTCTTTAGTGTTTCATTACTTTTCAGAATTCACTGCTGCTTGCAAGTCACAAGCTGCAAATAACTGTTTCAGGTTTTATCCCCCATTGATGTAAGAGACCCCTTGATGTAGTTTATACATGAATCACAGGCTCTTTAACATGGTTATACTAATGCTGATACCTTAAGTAGAAATTTGATTATTTACAATGTGAATAAAAGTGATCAAATAATTTACAGTCTTTCCCATTTAAAGGATTGTAAACCTAAACATTGCTTCATTAAAAAAAAGGGTGACGCTACATTGCCTAAGCTTATCTGAAATAATGTACAGTAACTTGTATTGGCTAAAATGTCAGGGTACATACAGTATATAAAAGCTTAAATATGGGTAACAGAAGCTTCTTTAAGGTCAAAATATTCTGTGACTTAAGTTACTGGCAAAATATACCCAACAAAGAGTAATCTTAAACACTAAATTGCTTAGTGTTTTTTTGCCTGATTTTGCATGACAAGTTGTCAGGTGGTGCTGTGGTAACAGCTGTAAGGCAATTCCACATCTAAAAAGAAATTCCAAGTAGAACAATCAGCATAAAAAAGACTAGAGCACTGACTCACTGCACATGTAATTGCCACAGGGAATAAGAGAAGTGCAGAAATAATTCACATTTAATTAATAAATTATTACATTAATATGTCTCTCTCACCTTTCTTCTCTAGAGGCTGCTCTGTCTAGTTCTGTACCCAATTCTTTTTTTTTCTTGCAACTATGCAACACTCAAACTGTATTTTATTATCAAAAATTAAAAAGACTCATCCATACAATCAAAGACAAAAACAGATCTTGGGATTTCATCTAATCAATTTTTTCATCTCATTATTCAGGCTCACTACACAAGCACACTGATGCAGGAAGGGAAGGGTTCTTTTAAATTCCGAGCACAGACTAACATTTCAATGAAACAACAGCTCCAGGCACAGAGAGACCATTCTCTTTGGGTCTAACAGGAAGGATGCAAAAATGCACATATCCTCTGTAAATGTAGAGCTTATTATTGTGTGAAAGTAGTTTTTGCATCCAGAGTCTGACACCTTCTCAGAAATAAAAAGCAGGAATTTGATTCAACCAAGAGAGTGTCAGAATACTTGAATCAGAGACTCCAACAGTTGTAAGGGCTTACCTAAAGCATACATTAGGTTTGAAGTAGGTAAGGATACCCTTCTTTGTGCTGTACATCATATAGCACATGGTGTAATGCCAGCTGTACTGCAGACACTGTAGGATATGCAGAAAGTCCTATGCTCACGGAAGATAGCTCACCCTCACTGCCATCATGCTGGTGTGAACAGAGACAAAACTGAGTTGATTAACAACTACTGTACAGTAGCTGTTCTAAAAGAGGGCCATGTTAAAAGGTGCAATTATTTATATGGAATTCATATCAGAAAACTGCGTATTCCTGGTAAGGGTTTAGACAACAGAGATGCCTGTTACCAGTTACCTATCTAGAATGTCTTTGGGGGAGACTGAAGGAGCACCTGCAGAAAAATCACACAGTTGCAGGCAGAATGTGCTGATTCCACTCCAACCTGGAACTGGACAAAGGACCCAAGAGCTGTGAGGCAGCCATGCCACAGAAGGCCCCATATATGGATTACATCTAAAGTAATATCGGTCTCATGTACGGATATACACACATCATTCCAAACCAAAAGACCTTTCGCTTGTTGTTATCAATATTGTATCATGTTGGCGTAGCACAAAGTGTTCAACTTTAATCCAAAACTATCTGAAGTTTTCAAAGATGGAATAATTGCATAGTCTGAGTTAAAAAAAAAGAAATTAGAAAAATGAGATGAATGAATAAGCCCTGGGCAAAACTGAACTGTGAAAGAAAAATCAAAAGATTCTAAAGACAGATTTTCAATAACAATAGAGTCCCTTGGTTCTGTGATTTACTTTAATCTTTTACTGCCAACAGGGCAGGTCTGTAGATTTTCTTTGAACCATAGATACAGAATATTTTGATGCTACGATACGATGGGGGCACAGCTAGTTGTGATATAGAAATAGATTAAAACATTTTCTGATCATCTGGTACGAAATTGCATTTATCAATGCTTTATAAATGAAATATAGTATATTTCTCAAGTATAGTGACAGAAATGTGATGATAACCCACCTAAGCTGTAGATGAACTGTATAACAAAATATTTTAATGAATCAGACCCAAAACCCCAACTCTAAAGATAGGGTTATCTAATGTTTTACCTAAAGAAATATAAAATCTTCCCTTTTCCATCTCTTTCCTTAAAAAGAAGAAAAAAAGAAAAATCTAGAATTTAGTATTTAACAGAATTTTAAAAAGATACTGCTCTCATCTTGTGATGCTTTAGCACCACTTTGTTTTTTTTGTTGAAATGTCATTAAGAAACAGAAAATGCAAACGTTTTATTTTTAATCAGGAAACTGTGACCTAGGTTACTTCTTAATTGTTTGCTACTAGAAAACGTTGTTTAAAAGTTCATGGAGGCTGCGTTTTCATTTCCCCAGCATTGCAGATCTGTTCTATGGTACTATCTGGGGAGTAGAAGTCTGAAACCTGCTTCGTACAGTAAATTGCTAGTAAAAAATATTTTCTTGGTATTGATCCGTGAAGTGTCAATACATCAAAAATCAGATTTAGTTCTTTTGATAACTGATCACCATAAACCTTGAGTGGAAAAAAAACCTTGGTGTATTTCATTTTTGTCTTTGACCATACAAAAATATTTTGTTTTAACCTCCAGCTGCAAAGTTCTGTCATTATCGCGAAAATGTAATTCAGAACGCCTCAAACCACTAATTAACACGGAAGCATTTAAGCGGCTGATTTGATACATTAACACCTGGTACCTCAGTGGTGCCAGCTTTCCCCCGTCTATTGTGGCTTTGGCTGATAGACGCGTTTCAGGATACAATATATATATATAAATCTAACATCCTAGATGTCTTTGATTATCCTTGAACATTTAAAAATAGATGCGGCTTTCGGATGCCGTTAAACCTGTTGCGAACAGATGCTTTTTATTGCTATGTAAAAAAAACTCATAACATTTCACTTTTAAAAAAAGACTGTTATTCCCCTTAACAGCTTTAATTAGCATATGTGTGGCAAGGCTTTTATAGCGAACCTGCCACCATGATATCGCCGCCTTGGATTCTGAAGTGTCTCCAGGTCCTGACAGACTGCGGACCCAAGGCTGAAAGAGAATGGAGACGCCTGCCACTCTCGCCCAGCGCAACCATACAGTAAGAGCACTGCAGTATTTGTGTGCTTAGGCCTGCAGGCGAAAAAGAGTAACAAGTGCACAACCGTCTTTTAACAGCTTTTAGATACGACAAGCATAGATGCTTCAGTCTTGGAAATTAATTAAGCGAAACGGGTTTTATGAAACTCGCCTTTGCATAATTGTTGTTCACAAGGACTCGAGCCTCATCCTCACTCTTGCAGGCACCAGTGCCCACAGAGTCACCTAGCAATGGTCTTCGGAGGAGCTGCTCACCCCTCAGAATAAGAGCTTGATGGGAGATGATGCTTGAGGGTAGAGCCAAGTAAGAAGTTTGTAATTAGAATTATTTCATACTGACTTCTATACCACAAGAATAACACTGCCTGATCTATGAAAGAAGTGTAGATCTTTTACATGATGGAGCAATGCAGGAACGGGGTTGGATTTATAATAATAATATTTCCTTGCACTGTTCTGGACACTCCACTCAAAGCGCTTTTACAGGTAAGGGGGACTCCCCTCAACCACCACCAGTGAGCAGCCCCAACTGGATGATGCAACAGCCACCATAGTGCACTAGTACGCTCACCACACACCAGCTAACAGTGGGGAGGAGAACGGAGTGATGGAGCAAATTCATAGTTGGGGATTAGTAGGAGGCCATGATTGGTAACAATCAATGGGAAATTTGGCCAGGAAACTGAGGTAACATGCCTAGTCTTTGAAAAAAGCCCTAGGGTGTTTAATGACCGCAAAGAGTCAGGAGTGCCTTTTTACAGCATAGTGTCCCCGTTACCCTACTGGGGCATTAGGACCCACACAGACTGCAGGTTGAGCACCCCTAGTGCCCTCTAATAGCTCTTCCAGCAGCAGCCTTAGTTTTTCCCAGGATATGTCCCATCTAGGAACTGACCAGGCTCACACCTGCTGAGCTTCAGTGGGGTGCCAGTTATGAGCTGTAGGGTAAGATGGCTGCTGGCGATCAAGCACTGGAGAATTTTGGGCTTTTACTTTTGGGTCTTGTGCCTCTGCAGTCCAAACATAACTGATTATGACTTTGCAGCCATTACTTTAAAGTCTTACTGAGATAAAAAAAAAAATATGTGAGGGCCTCTTTAATTTGACACTTTTTTTTTTTCCCACTGCAAAACGGCTCTCAAAGATCTTTTGTTGGCAGTGCGGATCTGGAAGAGGCACTCAACAAAACAAAGATGGATTCAGATTATTCCTTATACCACAGCTTCAGTTTTGTTAGTGCCTTGCCTTATCTCCAACTATTTAATCTGTGGTACCAAATTCCCCATTTATTTCCAGCATTGCTTCCTGTGATATTGTTTTGCCCCCTGGGCAGAGCATTATATAGCTACATACCTTCATGCATTGGGCAAATTAAATTCTGGACACAGAGGTTAAATAAGGTAAAAAAGTGTAACACTGAACTAAGTAACAAGGCTGCAGGTTTACTGAAGTTCTAGTTCCTCAGCGTTTCAATGAACTTGTTTTCCTGACACTTTTCCTGATTCTATCACCACCTTATTTAGGATCTGTTTGATCCAGTGTAGGGCCACAGAGTTCACAATGCCTCACCATAACAGAGGCATTCAAACGGACTGTGGTAAATACAGTATATCACTCTAAACTGTTACAAGGGTAAGAAGAAAAACTAATTTAAGAGTCTGTAATTTCTGAAATAGAGACAAGAGATTAGACCAGGCCGTATGTACTGTATGAAACAGGTTTATTGTTTCATCAGCATTTGGGTTTCTTATCAGAAGCCATATCACAGGGATCTGTTCTTAGAGCTCAATGCACAAGCCACATGAGTTAAAATGATTGTGGGAGAAGGCAGGTTCTTAAAAACTAAAATGAGAAAAACGGGCTCTGTTATGGGCATAAAACGTTTGTCCAAGAATTCAGAGAAGCTGAAGACATAGTGCTGGAGGTTTCAGAGCAAATTAAAAAAAGCACGTCTGTTTAGAAAGATTCGAAAGTGGATGCAGATAAGGGGATTAGTTGTTATTGCCGCTGTGTTTCTATACAGTCCTTCTACTCTTTTTAATAAAACTTGCTGCACTTGATGTCTGTGTCAGTTACAGCTCGATCGAACTCCTTAGAAACCTTAAGAATAGGCCTTTGGGTAATTTAATATGTAGAGGTTTAAGTGTGATCTCAGTTTTTAACTTTTCAGAAGCTTTTATCTTGGTACTCCGCATTTTAATAGTGTTGAATTCAATCCCACAAAACACACTCTCCAAAAATACAGCATATACACCATACACCATACATATGGTTTCAAATCTAAATTTGTAATTATGCCATTACCTTGTGTCCTTCAGAAGATACCACATTTTACAGTGCAGCAATCAATGATATTCACACATATTTATTCTGCCAGAATGAAGTATTTTAAAATACATTAAAAAAAATAAACAGTCTTTGTCCGGCTCCCTGACCTTTCACAGAATCAATGTCTTAGAAATATAGAATAACACACACCAAAATACAAAGTATGTAGAGGGAACAGGTTGAGGCAAGAAGGCAGATAATACTTGACTTGTCCAATGGTGACAATTTGATGAATTTTTTTCATAACATTGACAATGGCTGAAAGATCATTCCTCACAAGGCAATTTCCTGCTGTCTTTCCTTGAAACGCAGGTAATAGGGGCGGCTGGTGAGGAGAAGGGATTACCAATCTGAAACTAGCAGAATGGGAAGAGCAGACAGCACCCATCCCTTTGACTTAAAACTGTCAGCCAACTAACAGTGGATTGCCAGATATGATTATTGCTTTGCCCCATGCAATTGTGCCCGAACATGAGCACATAATCCTCACACGCCATGCTAGCACTCTGAAAATGAACAGTCTAGCAGGAATGAAAGATGCACACACACTAAAAAAGGATTATGAAGGATTTTAAAGACTTTCTTTAATAGCAGGCCCATCCCAGGTTCATGCCTGATTTTGTCTCCAGGTCTGCAATCTGCTTCTAATATGTTTTATTTTTATACTTTTATTATTTTATCGTAATGTAAGCTCCCTGCCTTTCTCTAATCACTCTATTAACGAAGCAATCTGTGAAAGGAAACTGTATTGCAAATGAAAGTGATGTAAAAAGAATTAATGGAAATGTTTTAGTGAAGAGAATTAGACATTTCATTGTTTTTTTTTAAATCATGCACTTTAACAGAAAACACAAGTGCGTTCCATTGCACTGCTTTAATTTCCTAATTGATAGAATTACAGCTCTGGTTTCCTGCATTTGAATCATCATCAGTGTTGTACAAGTGCAGATCCACCAGCCCATCAGAACTTTTCTCCAAAAGCTTATTTTTTGACAGATTTCAGCACCCTTACCTACATAGCTGTAACAAGGCTAAGCAATCTATTTCAAGTAGTGGTGATTTTGAGTTTTAAAATGCCTTTGTAGTAGCAATCATCACACGACTGATGTTTAACAGTTTTCCATTTACAGTACATCATTGCATTCTGTTAACTGAACATGATTCAGTCTTATTTATCTTCTTTGCAATTACACAAACTTAACAACTCCTCTCAGACACTGTTCAATGAGAAGGAAAAGATTGAGTTCCTTCAATTTGGTCTTACAACTCAACCCTTAATGTCTGTAATGAATATTGGTGTTCTTCTTTGAAACCTTTTTTTACACTTCTGTATCATTTTGAGAAATGTGTAGAGTAGAAGTGTATAGTACACTAGCTCACCAAAAGTAGTGTCACAATTATTTTGTTCTTAAAGTGGTGAGTAAGAGTCACTTAAAGAACTGAAAGTATTACAAAAAGACTGCCACACAGATTGGTTCTGAAACATTTAGGTGTCTTAGAATTTGTAAAAGGCTTGAAAAAACTCAATACCTACAGTGTATAAAATGAAGCCATTTTGTTTAGGGTAAAAAGTAACTTAGAAATACCCTGACAACAGCATTAGCAGAGGCAGAATTTGAGATTATTTTAATTTTATGCTATCTATAGATATCCAAATGATAAACTTTATTTTTTATTAACTTAATTCTTTTGTTATAAAAAAACTGAGCATGAACACCTGGTTAATTTATAAAGAGAAAGCTCCTTCACCTTTATTTGCTGACTGACTACAAGATATGTTCTGCCTGGCAGTGCTTTTGAGCTAAATTGTCCTTCTAGGAATCAATCGCTCCCTTTCATTCAAAGACCCCTTCACTAAAGCAATCTAGAATTCAACAATTTACCTTTACATATGCTACTGTTATACTACAACAGAAAGAAAACTGCAATAATAATTCTTTTAAAATGTAAAAGGCACATATTATTTTAGAGACAAGCTTAATAACCATCCTGCCTGAAAGACGTTTGAAAGCTGAAATCATGAGATAGAAGACAGCTGTGTACTTTAAAGATATTAGCCTTGTTGCCAGCCAGTAACTTGTACTTTTTATTCTGCTGAGAAAGATTGGCAGTTTGCCCTCCAGGCAGTGTGAGAAACACATCTGCTTCTTACAATGCAGGTAGTATTTTGTTTCCCCAATAATAACACCTGAATTATTTTATTTTTTTAAATAGAACAGATGGCCATCTACCCATCCATTATCAGAAAGCTGCTTATTCCTGGGAAGGGTCATGGTAGCCCAGAGCCAATGGATGCAAAGCGTGACATAATGTTGGACAGGATGTCAGTCCATCACAGCGTACATGCACAGGGACAGTTCAGAAATGTCAATTAACCTACTATAGCCAGCACTCTCTGGGAGGTAGGAGGATGCATAGAAGCACCTAACCTAGAATCTAACCCAGGATTTAAGAGCTGCGAGGGGGCTGTACTAAATGCCTTGCCACTATGTCCCCTAACAAGCTTTAAATTATTTAGCTGCCCACTTTCATCTGCTTTAGTTTGTGTGGCAATACTGTAAATCACTCAGAACTGAACTCATTGTGTGGAAGATGTTGAATACGCGTTAGTTTGTAGCCGCAGTGAAGAGGCATCCAAAGGCAACACATAGGGTCTCCTCTGGTTTTCAGCCATTCTGCCCTAAATTGAAACAGACATTTCAGAGGCAGAAGGGTACTCATGATAAAGTGGTACTAGTGTTTCTACACAAAACGCAGGGAAAGAACCATTTTGCCTATGTGGTAGAAGGATAGTATTTTCATTAACTTTGCGTAGAGGAAAAGAACACAAGAGCTTTGATTCTGTGGATGATATTTTCTTTGTACCAGTGTCTGTGAGATTCATACTGATGCTGAGCAAGCGGCATAAGGGAGTGTTTTTTCATAACAGAATAATTTGCATGTAGATTTATGGCAGCGAGTAATCAGCAGATAATCCATGGTGGATAATAAAAGAGATGACAGGGGGGGAAATGAGAATGAAAGGCATGGGATGATTTGGAGGAATCTAAACAAAACCTAGAAACAGCCATGTGGCAATAGTAGGGGAAGAAATGCGCATACAGTTTAGTCATTTTGTGCTTGAGAAAAACATCGCAAATCTCAAAATGGAAAATCCTGGCCCTCTCAGATAGTGGATTAACAATTTTACAAGTCAATTGCAAAGGCACAGTTGATGCTGGAGTCAAGTTACAGTACATCTTTTACAATAAGGGTTGTGGGCTAACAGCAGAGTGTAGGTTTGGGGGTTCATTTTGGCTCCCATATTGCAGGGAACGCATTGCTTCTTTCACATAAAACCCAAACAACTATCCATTCATTATCAGAAAGCTGCTTATTCCTAGTTCACTAGTTCGGTTAGATCCTAATGAATGCAATAGAGACAAGACTTGTATTAAGTGTTTAGTGTGACTAGCCTAGCTGAGGGAAAGTCAGTAACACAGAACTAATCCATGGACAGGCTGCACAATCCCTCCCCCCCAGTTGTGAGGAGTGAGCAAGGGAATTTGTTGTAAGGATTTATAAGGGGAGATAACACAAAGGGAAGACCTACAGTATGAGTAGGTGAGTGGAAGTGTGCAAGATGTGAATCCAACCTTCCACCTAAACATCTGTTGTAAACATTCAATGCTGCAGCAACCCAGAGTTTATCCCAGATGCACAGGGCATCAAATGGGATTATATATGGGTTAGAAGCACCATCTCTGTGAGACCGCCACTCTACTAAAACTAAGAGGAGACAAAAAGGAGATTCGGATCGATATGTCTGGCTCTCTGAACTTGGACATTAACCTTATAGAGTGTATGTGGGAACACTTTGATCTCTGGTTACTGCACCCTTCTCCCAGCTCTGTCACCACCCTTAAGGAAATGGCTATCATGATAAAAACACTATTTTTGCAATCGCTCTGCTGTTTTCTGATCTGCTTAATATAATACATACGGTTCTCAAAGGAAGTAATACTAATCGCTTTGCCTCAACATTTATCTGTAACATAAACATTTACTTTACATGTTTAATATTTGCTTTATGTGTGCCCATGTTAAAATGATTTTAAAAATTGAACAGCCTCGGAGAAGTGGAACGAATTTGGTCTTTGCAGTGCTTTGTAATCAAAGCATTTTGCAGAAACTAGTGTGTAGCACTTACAGGAGGTTCTTTTTGTGTTTATCAGATAGTACTGTAGTTGCCTTTGTCTCACAGCCCTGAAAATACTTTTAAGACAGATAGAGCCCTAGTCAGCTAAGCATAATTATACTATAGGCTGTTTTGGTTCAATAATGAAACTAAACTTAATGTAAATTAAATGGCAATAAACTGTGACCACCCCAACTCACCTCTCTGGAGCTTTTTGAAGATTTAGAGCCACGAAGGCCTGTGGGCTAAAGGGCATAACCCACCCAATAAACACATTAATATGGATGGTGGGCCATTTCCTGCAGCCTGGACCAAGTCCTTAAATCATCAGCCTGGAATAAAATGATCCCAAAGGGGAAACGGAGCATCTCAATAACTTATGGCAGGAGAAAAAAAACATTATGCTATCAAAGGAGATGGTAGACTTAGGAAGCCAAATAGTTGATGGGAAAGGAGGAGATAATGGGCCACATAATAAATTGATGTTGTTTTTCCATGATTTGACAAACGTGGATTTAATATGCTCAGAACACAAGATCTCTTAGTATGCTTTGAAGTCTGTGCTATTTTTAATGTTGCCAAGGTGACTTAAATTTGATTCACTTCAAGTTAAGAAGCTTTAGAGGATAGTTTTTGTTTGTGAGCCATTTTGCTTTTATTTAGTATTAAGAAAATATCTGAAATGTAATAGCTAGCAACTAGATGGCACTGTACTGTAAAAAACAGACTTTTCTATATCTTAAGAAGGGCTTTTTTACAGTACTACTATTTCCCAAGACCGTGCAATATTTAATGTAAATTATTAAAATACATTTTATCAGGTAGGAATGTTATATAAACACTGCTAAACATTATTCCTGATATTTCTAAAAATTACATTTATTTTGGTATGTAACTAGGACAGAAAACAATTAGAAGTTGAAGTAATTTTCACAGATTTGTGACACTAACATACTGGATTAGTAGACATCTACAATTTCAACAACTTAAAAAAAAAAGGTCTGTGAGTGCACATAAAACATAAAGAAAGTAACCTACTGTACATCCATGGTTCACAACTTTATCCTATAAAGTAGGATGGTGCCTAAACCCACAACTGATCCCAGGACCCAAGAGCTGTGATAACAATGCTGACCTCCACCTAACTGGGCCACACAGTATGAAACCTGAAGATACAAGTGCTCTTACAAATATCAGTGCAGCTTGTGCAGATGTTATATTTCATCACTTTAAAACAAAGTTATTTGCTTTCTAGTGATTTAGCTTATTGGCTTAAAATGTACTGTAAATATAAGGAACAGTAAAGGCTATATAGTGGTTCTAATCATTCATAAATTCAATTTTTACTACTGCATGGATATTCATTGTATTCGTGGGATTCCAAAACAGATTAAGAGATTGTGCTTCTGTTTTCGCAATGTCAATTGTGGGTGTCGGGTACAGTGCACTGGCTAGCTCAGATGGTGGTGGGGAATAGTGGTTAAGGGCTATGGGCTCTGCACTCTTGATCAGAGATTGAGTCGAAGCCCTAGCTGGTGATGCTGCTGTAGCTTTGACCCTTGTATTTATCCAGATTGGTCCAGTTAACAATTTACAGCATCATAATACATAACATAAATGTAGATTAAAATATTATAACAACTTTAAAGCACTGTGGGTAAAAACACAAAAGCCTACTAAATGAATAATCTAAAAAGATTTCAAACAAGATTTTTATTTTTTGGTCAGACTGCTTCAGTATATTAAAGGGGAATACCAATTGTCTGTAATTTCTAGCTTTAGACACTGCATAGTTCATTATTTTCCATTAAAAGTTGCCCTTTTTCCTTAATCTGATAGCATTCAAAATGCTTTAGAAGGCACAATGAAGACTGGAGTGAGGATTTAAACTAAATGAAAAACAAATTAAATTAGACATTACATTACTAGTCCCAGAAGAGTGAGATTTTGCCTAGTTGAGGGTGGACTTTTGATCATTCCAGGTCTCCTGAGGCATTTTTTATTGTTCAGTTATTACAGTTATAATTAAAATCTCTCCCCAATATTCAGGGCTCTCAGGGCTGATGTTTTGCATAATGTTAAGGTTGTCACCATATAGCAGTGACATTAAGCATGGTGTTATCTTGCATTTGATAATTAAAATTTAGCGTCAGTACTATTTGAACATCTTGCTTGTATTGCACGGCTCATGTTTTGATACCTACCCCATCTTGTTGGTGTCGTTGTGCTTGCACTTATCTGACACCCGGTCTAACAAGCACCTGTTTGCTATGCAAGGGTAGAGCAGATGAAGTCAAGATGCCCTTCTGTGTCGGAATGCATATGAGCTCCTCCAGCTGAGGCTTTCAGAAAATGTAAATGTAAACGGCAGCTCTGTTAATTAATTAGCATCAAGCATTGCTTAATGTAATCATACACAATCCGTTCGGAGGTCATGGGACCTCAGCGCTCCCCAGCATCAGATACCTTCAGATACAGTACCTCTAGTGTTTGCATTGAGCATTGCATGAACCAAAAATGATTAATTGCTCTGCTTTTTAATACCTTATACTATAGTAAGAAAAAACAAAACAGGAAACAGTTATTATTCGTCACTGTAAATTTGCCCATCATCTTACAACATACTTGCAACAACATGTTTTTATTCTTGATCTTGCAGACATCACCAAGAGCTTCTCTCAAGGAATGATCCCCATGTCCCTGTAGCTTGGGAGTAGCCTGGACATCTCAGCTAATTGCTCCACTGCAAAAGAAGCTCTGATGCTTGTCTGGCCTGTGCTCACATTCAGTAGGTGTTGCATGCATGGACGAATACAGTACGTCTCTAGTTCCTCTTTACCAGTCTCTTCCCAAGAATATCCCAATTTGGTCCACTCTACTTTTGCTATGCATTCCATATTGAGCTTTCAGAAGAGCACACTTTCTCAGAATTCCAGCTGGGGCTCAATAAGAAGCATGATTGTTTTAGCAGACTCATTGTGGAGTTACTACTGTACAGTGCATATAATTTCCTTTAGCAAGCAGGTTGGGTACAAACAGCATCATTTTATGGTCTCATAGGCTTTGTGTAGATACTGTTAGTGCTCTGACTGCTTTGAAAAGTTCCTGAGCTCCTTTTTCCCTCAGAGAATCCCCCACCTCAACTTCTCTGCTGGTAGTCCTCATACAAACCCCTGTCTCTTGTATTGCCTCTGCAGCACAGGGGCACTACAATATTTTCATTGAATGCGAGTTCTGTTTTTTACTGTTCCAACACTGAAATTCCAAAACATATTGACTGCAAAACTTACTTTACATTAAAAGACATACAGTACAGCTTAGGATTTCCTTGCAAGTTTCAACAATAATGTCCACATTTAACCCCCTGTACAGAATTTATATGCAATATATCTAAATATGTTTTATCAACATGCACATACTGTACACTCATACTGTATATACACTCACCAATGGTTGTTCTTAAAGATTCACTCTAAGGACTATGAAGGAGTAATGTCTGAAAAACCTAGTCAGGAATGAAAGAAAATAAAGCTATCAAATTTAATTTATAGTCTAAAACATGTTTATTTAATTCATTCACAATAAATATTCCCAATAATGGAGTACCTACCCGAAAAAAAGATATCCTAAAAAGTACTGAATTGCCTTTTTACTTTGATAAAGTGCTCTACCCACTGAGTGGGCTCAGCTGAATTTTACTTTCAGCTCAGCACTTTGAGGTGAGACCACTGGCTGTTGCAAAGAGGGTCTCAGTGGTAGGGTTTGTCACGGAAACTGAATTAGTTTGGATTTATAGTGCTACCTTGTGATGGCTCAGCTACAGGGGTGGCTTAAATCATTTTGGTACATTGCAATAAAAAATGTCAGGCAGCAGATTTAAGGCACTCTCACTATGAACTTTTCTCTCCAAAAGCCTGAAGGCTGACATTTAAAAAGAATGAGCCCCTCCAAGGAAAGGCCATGATCACCGTTATCTTGTATCTTTAGCAATACAACTCATTTGCTCGGTGCAGGCGGCTTGGAGTATCATCGTGCTTTGATAAGACCGATCTTTTACCTTATGAAAGTATTAAAAGGCTGTTTTCATGTATTTACATGACACTGCATTAGAGTGCAACTTTTTTTTCTGCAGATGTGGTTCCATCTGCATTCTGAACTGCTTAGAATGTATCTTGACACATCCTGAATCCTGAAAGGTGGTAAAATCTTTATATAATATTCCATCTAATGTTTACAGTCTTTTCTTGGTCAAGCAAGAACAGTTTCCCTTACTTTGTTGTCTTTAATTGCTTGCTAATGAACAAAAGGCATTGCACAAGAAAACTCTTTGTAATAGTCAAGAGGCCACAGCAAAGTCAGGGCTCATTATAACTTGTTAGGCAACAGAGGGGAAATCATATTAAGACAGACTAATAATACCAAGAAGGACATAATGGCTAATTGCCTTTCAGCATTCCTGGATTCTTAATATAAGAATTACACGATGTAAGGAAGCTGTGCAAAGTTCCTAATCGTTATGACTTAGCACCATGAAAAGCAGATCATGTGTGTCTAATTTGATTTTTTGAACCAGATCTCATGGTACCTGAAAAAATGTATTTGTTATTATTGTGCTGTTGCTGTGGCAGGGGGCATCCAAGCCTAGTGGAGGTACTATATTTATGTCTGTTTCCTAATAGACTATTCAAGTATTCTGATATTACACAGGTTTTATTGGCACAAGCATATAAAATCTGTGCAATTGGAAAGTACGCTTCTGTGAAATATCAGCTGAAATTGCCTGCATGCAAAAGAACCCTGTCAGACAGCACCAAAGTTAAAAAAAAAAACAATTAAAATAAGTATGAAAAATGAGAAAAATGGGAACTTCGATCTAAATTGTGAAAAATGTCCTCCCTTAGGGTGCAAGAGCTAGCAAGCACAAAGATCTCAAGCAGAGCAAAGCACAAGAGTTTTTTTTTTTGTAAATGTTTTTTTTTCTGGAAGCAAAGATGAAGAAGGATGTGATGGGAAGAGGGGGCAGACAAACACTCTCTTTCTCATATTGAGCAAATTCGCCTGCAGGGATTGATTAAGTTGATGTGTTGAAGTTCCCAGAAGCCTCCAACAGTATCTACAGGGATTTTCTGTTTGTATATTGGATATTTTATTTTTAATTTGTACATGTCGTTCGGTACCAAAAGTGTTGTTTTTGAATTTTCTATTGCTATAAAGTTAAGAAGACTCTTGCCATACAGAAAATCTGCGGTACAGTATGTTGCTGTCATGTGTTCTACTGATATCCTTCCTTCGGTTTTACAGTCAGATGAAGTAATCGCTCCCACCTCCCAGAATGTTCACATACACATCTAAATTTAAAACCCATTTCAAAATCAATTATTTTTAAATGTTGTGTTTTAAATTGTGGTTTCTCTCAAGTAGAACACATGACTTCTTTTTAATTTCTTGGTCGGTATTACCTTCTGATCTTGGAATCTTCTTTCCAACCGTTGATGACTCTTCTTCAATAAAAAAAGGGATGATGGAGTAAAAACACTTCCAACTAAAACCAGAAGGGGTCAGATTTCCCTTTCCTTCAACCGTGATTTACACATCTGTGTACTCAATGATCACCGTTTTGTAAAGATTGTACTTTTTCTTTGAGTATCTCATGGTGCAAAAACACATTTTTTAAATTTCGGGACATGGACAAGCCAATGACATTAAATAGAAAGTACCGTAACAGGTAGTATAACCTGTCTTTGTTTTCTTTTTTATTGCTTGACCTTTTGTACAGTAGCCCCTTGTTAATTAATGAGTTTACAGTCTGAGCACAGCTGAAATTAAATACCTTTCAAGGAGGACAGATCATTAAGATCTACCCTCCAAGGACTGGGGTGTTACTGAAAACATACCAGTAGTAATGGTTTGATTCAGAAGTTCTAGAAGAGGCACTTCCATAGGAGGGAGTCCTTGTGTGACTTATTATGCCTTTAAATATAAAGCCATGTAACACAGTGGAACTCCTTGGGTAGGCTGTGCTGCTTTCTTGAAACAGCTGTGATGATTGAAGGGCTGCATGTGTAAATACACCATCTCTTACAACACCCCTGTATCCTCAGACAGAGTTTCTAGTGTTTCAAGTTAAAAACCTCCAGCAAGTGCTGAACTAGCAGACTTCAGCGTGGTGCCTTTCTTGTCTCTTCCAGACGGCTCTTCTGATGGCACACTTTATTCACCCAGCAAATTCTTTAAATAGGAATGTTCTTGCTTCTTCAAGGCAAAGGAGAAGGAGGTAACAGTTGATTCAAAGTAACATTTTGCACTAATATTCAGACAGTACCCTGCAGGGATAAAAGAAAATAAAACTCTACAGTATTTTCTCTGTATAATGATTTTTGCAGCATAATCATAACATAACTTTAATAATTAGAACAATCAGATTGCATAATGGGAGAGTGTAGCTCAGGATAAAAGTATTTTGATGTAGGGAGAATTAAAATTTGTCATGCTCTCTGAACCTAGCAGAACAACTGCTTAGATGGAAAAAGACCAAAAATAGTTTTTATCTTCTCAGTCACAGGGGTTTCTGAAACCATTGTCATAGTGTAGAATCTGCATTTCAAATGTGGTAATAAATGCGGCTCTAATAACTGTCTATACTGTAGCTGTTACCTTCATGCTGGAAGGTTTTCCATCAGACATCGCACGGCAAAAAACAGGTGTAGGAAAGTTTCATGTTGATTAATTAGCTTTTCTATTGGACAAATAAGTCCAGAAGTTCTTCAGACATTCAGTTCCAAGAGTTCTCTACCACCAATAAGTATTCTCTCCAATCGCAAGGAGAGTTAAAGCCAATCTTGACGGACATTTTCATCCTACATATTAATGAATAACATTATATTGGTACGCAGACACTTGCTTTAATAATTAGCTGAATGCCTTTTAAATGACTTTTTTTTCCCCTAAGCTTTAGGATTTGCCAATTTACTGTACCAAGAGCTGCTGCATATATACTGTACTGTATGTTGCATTTTATATGTTGTTATAAAACAAGCCTACTCAATGTGCCCAACTTTGGGAGCTCGTGAGGAATCCCAGACACAATAACCTAGCACTCAAGAAGACAAGAGAGGTTACAGACAAAAGGCCATTTGAGTCATCTTCTAGACCATCTGGTAGTAATTAATTGATACGAAGACCTCTTTCAGCCATTTCTTGAAAGAAGCCAGGACATTAGCTTCAACAATAGACTCTCACAACCTCTTGTGTAACACAGCCTGGATTTGAACTAGCGACACTTAGTCTGTGGTGCTCAACATATGTTCCATTCAAGCTCCTTCAATGGCAGTTTTTAAAATTCTTGTAGCATTGCATCGCTCGATTTAATTTAAAACTCCAAACTCAGTCCTTGAGCTGCAGCTTTTACCAAATGAAAGCCATCATGTATTGGTTTGGAATTTAGAATTCAAAGGGAAAGTGTAATCAGTGTACATGTTGACATATTTGTCAGGTTGTGCTAAAATCATCAAATAATCTGGAGAGTGCTGATAGATTCCTATATCAAATAACCGCTTTGTTAAAAAAAAGACTTTGTGCATCAATCTGAAATATTAAAGTTTTTGTTTATTAAAATGCCCTTATATTCAAAAACCAAACTCAGTCACTTGTCTTAATTAGTTGGGGTTGCAGTGTTTTTAATTCTTGTTTTTCCTAAATAATACATACCTGTACAGTATACTCCAAATTTGACCAAGGGTTCAGAACATCAGCAGGAGGTGTCTGTTACAGCTTCCCACTTAGTGATGCTTTTTATTTTCCCTGAACAGTCTATACCACAGAATCTGCTGACAGCCTTTTCAGAAGCCTGGAAAATAAACATTGCCATAAGTCTAAACCCATTTTCATAACCAATACAAAAGGAAAATTACAGAGATTGTTTCTTCTTAAGTGAAGTAAATTGAAGGCCCACAAAAGAAAAGAGAGAAGAACACAATGTAAACATCCCTCCTCCACAAGTAGAATGGAAACTGAAACATTTCTGTTTAAAAATAGCTGGCTAACATGCTATTTTGACATTATGCAAACCAATTACCAATGCAACTGAGAATTAATTAAAAATCTGTCTAGAATTCTATACTATTCTTTCAGGATCTATGTTAATTATAAAACTAATACTCAGTTGATACTTACAGTATGTGTAATACAATTTCCATTGCTTTAACTTAAAACCAAAACAAGCCACATTAAAATGTAAATGTAGTATAACTTGTTTTTATCAAATAGCTTCAGTTTTGTTCTGTCCAATTAACAGATTTGTTTAGTATGCAGTCTTCTGTATGCTGTGTGGTAGAAAAAAGAACTCTCTTGATTTTCTTCTTAATATCTTAGAAACAATTCCAAGACTAATGACAAAGGCACAGACGGATGCTGTGAAAAGTTTTCACATTCTCTGTATTAAGAAGATATTTCATTATTTCAATGTAATTGC